GGGTAGGCAGGAGGCTCTGGGGGATAACTTGGTATTTCTGCTTTTGGATGAGGAATCCAGAAAGGCCTCCAAGTACAGCTTGTGTGACCCTCTGGATTCAGGTCAAGCCCTTTGTCTCCGTGCATGAAGCTCACCCAGGGAGTGAAGCGCCTGAGGTGGCCACCATTTCCAACTGTGTGACCAAGGGGCAAGCTTCAGGCTCCTCTCACTTGTGAAATCGACTAGTAAGTAATATCTGCCCTAAGAGTTACACATAGGCCATCCTTGACCACAGGAAGTACTAACTGGGGGTGAGATTAATGCTGTCATGGCCCCGCTGTAATCGAATTGCCACTGCTATCTAAAGAGACACTAGGGTCTGCAGTCTGTATTACCATTTTATAGAAAACTTTCTAAACTAAATTAAGTAAAAAACTAGCATTTTGAAAAATCCCAAGATAAGATTGGATTTTTTTTTAAGTTTTTGGTTCTGGAGACAGAATCTCACTATGTCATCCAGGTTGTCTTCAAAGAAATCTTCCTGCTTCAGCCTCCCACGTGTTGGGTTACAGGCATGCACTACCACTCCCAGATTACATTTTTTTTTAAAGACCTATTTTCTTTTTTCTCTTTCTTTCTTTTTTTTTTAATTTTTATTTTACGTGCATTGGTGTTTTTTGCCATGGGTGTCGGGACCCCTGGAACTGGAGCTACAGACAGTTGTGAGCTGCCATGTGGGTGCTGGGAATTGAACCTGGGTCCTTTGGAAGAGCAGTCAGTGCTCTTAACCGCTGAGCCATCTTTCCAGCCTCCGCCCCCCACCCCCCCCCCCCCCCCCCCCCCCCCGCCCCCGCCAGATTACATTTTTAAATCTCAAATATGAGAATGGTAGCTGGGTGGTGCACACCTTTAATCCCAGCACTCGGGAGGCAGAGGCAGGTGGAGCTCTGTGAGTTCGAGGCCAGCCTGGTCTATAGAGCAACTTCCAGGACAGCCAGGGCTAACTATTACACAGAGAAACCCTGCCTCAGAAAACAAAACAAAACAACAAAAAGAATGGTTTTCCTATGCAGTGAGAATGCTGATGAATATTTGTAATAAAGCTTGTGGCTATTTCAGGAGGAAAAAAGTCAATTGTTAGGGATGTTTGTATGTGTGTATGGCACGTGTATGTGTGGTACACATGCATGTGTGTGCGGAGGCCAGAGGTTGATACTGGGCGTCTTTCTGGTCTACCTTACTTCTAGAAATAGGCTCTCCCACTGAAGCAGAGCGTGCGGAGCTGGCTAGTCCAGCCAGCCACCTTGTCCTGGGAACCCCGTCTCGGTCTCCCACGTGCTGGTATTATAGCTAGGCTTCCGTGCCCACCAGCTTTTATGTGGGTTCTGGAGGTCTAAGACCCCTGTTGGATATTTGTGTGGCAAGCACTTTACCCACTGAGCATTCTCCTAGCTCCCCTTACTGGAGTTTTAAAACTGCCTAGGTGTGATGTTGCATGGTATAGAAACTAACTAACTAGCCATTGATCAGCTTAGCTGGGGTCGGTCCTCCACAGGACACAGCGTTCATCGTGTGTGCTCCTCTGGGTTTTTGTTTGTTTTCTTTTGACAGAGTCTCACTATGCAGCTCTGGCTGGCCTTGCACTCATAGAGATCCACTTGCCTTTGCTTCCCTAGTGCTGAGATTAAAGCTGTGTGTGTCATCACAGCCAAGAATCCCTCTCTTCTTTCTTTTTTTTTTTTTTTTTTGGTTTTTCGAGACAGGGTTTCTCTGTGTAGCTTTGCGCCTTTCCTGGATCTCGCTCTGTAGACCAGGCTGGCCTCGAACTCACAGAGATCCGCCTGGCTCTGCCTCCCAAGTGCTGGGATTAAAGGCGTGCACCACCACCGCCCGGCTCCCTCTCTTCTTTGTGGTTCTTCCCTTTATCTCATTAGCTTCCAGTCTTTCATCCATCCATCTGTCCATCCATCCTTCCACTCATGCATCCATCTATTCATCCTTGCTTCTTTCTATTCGTTCTTCCATCCATCCATCCTTCCTTCCTTCTATCTATCCGTTCTTCCATTCATCCTTCCTTCCTTCCACCCTTCCATCTGTCCCTCCGTCTGTCCGTCCGTCCGTCCACCCTTCCTTCCTTCCTTCCTTCCTTCCTTCCTTCCTTCCTTCCTTCCTTCCTTCCATCCATCCATCCATCCACCCATCCATCTTCCCATTCTTCCATCCACTACATATAAGTTTCAAAAAGTTAATGGTGTAACTTACACAAACATGATGAACGTGAAAGATTTGTTCACTTACTATTGAAGGAGATGTCCAGATAAGGTGTTCTAAGAGCATTTGAAAGAATGCAGATTTAGAGGCATTAAAAAAGTCAGCATTAAAACAGTGTCAGCTGGTTAGACACAGAACTGGTTAATGTCCTACAAGGCAGCAAGTGCCTAACCTTTGGGATTATTTGTTCAGCTAGACAGGAATATGTAAGTTAACATGTAACTTCACAGTGTATCCGTCACTTCTAAAATTACTATGTATAGGAGACTCTAGGCATAGTCACTAATTAAACAGCCCTTTATTTCAGAACCATTCCCTGAAAGGCACTGATTTCCATACTAGCAGAAGCCTTTGAGAACTTTTACTCTGGGACTCCAGAATGACAAGGAGCAGGCTTTCCCCTGCTTTGGGTTAGACCTGTCTGAGGACACCTAAGCTGTCCTTCCTCTGCCTTCGTGCCTTAGACTGCCTTAGACCGGTTTTACCGCTCTCTCTTTCAGCAGTCATGGTTTCCTCTCTGTCTGTGGTCACCAGTGTCTCAGCTCCCTGAGGACACAGTGATCTTCTGTCCGCTGCCACTGAATTCTCCTAGCAGAGCCATGGGTGGGAGGAGTTTATTTAAGTTCTCTGTCCTTATGGATCCAGTTTAGTTAATATTTAACAAGCCATTATTAATGCAGAGTACTTCAGTTAGACTCTGTGGGGCATGGAGAAAGGAACAATACCTCCTCCAGAACCCATAGTTCAATGGGGGAGACAGAAACGTGCAAAGCCTTCCGAAGTTGTGCTTCTTCATCGTGACTGAACATTAGGGTCACCTGGGGAGCTCTGAAACACCCCGATGCCGTCTACATTCCAGACTCATTCAATCAGAATCCCAGGCTGGGGGATGGGACCAAAATCAGTCTGTTTTAGAGGTTTCTGGGAGATTCCAGTGTACTGCTAAGCTAGAGTTAAAAAAAAAAAAAACGGGAAAACCTCATGAAGCATTAAGTGCTGAATCAACAGGGCACCACAGCCATTCTGGACAGGCTAACCTACTATCCAGGTACGCTTCAGCCCACGAGTGCAGAAAATACAGCCTTTGTTCGTAAGCGTGGGGAAGTCTCAGGTCAGTTTGATTGCAAAGCACCCACCACACATGCTCACTGGGGCTGGAAGATGGCTCAGTCAGTCAAGTACTTGCCATGCAAGCGTCAGGACCTGACTTGGTCTCCTCGAACCCACTTGAAGGGCTTGGCACTGCCGAATGGTCCTGCTATCTCTGGTGCAGAGCGGAGACAGGAGGACCTCAGGAGGTGCTAGCTAGCCGGTCCGAGGCCTTTGTCAAAAACTACAGTGGAGGGCCTGAAGAGGTGGCTCAGTGGTTAAGAGCATTTGTTGCTCATGCAGATACCCCAGCTTTGGTTCCCAGCACATGCATCGCGGTTTATAACTGCCTGTAACTCCAGTTCCAGGGGATCCGCCGCCTTCTTCTGATTGCTGAAGACACCAGGCTTGCACACAGTGCACATGCGTGCAAGTAGGAGAACGGCTCATACACATAAGTCTAAAGCAATTTTAAAATAATGTGTGGATATTACAACTTACCCATACCCACATTTGTTTTAAAACGTAACACAGAGGAGAGTGAGCGAGGAAGATACACCAGTGTCCACACACAGGCAAATGAGCATCACCCAGACACACACACAGAAAAATGCTTTAGGAGGTATGCCTTGAAGGAGGCTGTGTCTCTAAGGAAAAAGGGGCCTCAAAGATCAACCCAGAAGGCTACCCTCTGAATTTCTCCTCTGTGCTATTTTACCGGGATTTTTTTCTCCCTTATCTTTCTGAGGATCCATCCTTCCTCCCTCCCTCCCTCCCTTTCCTCTCTTCCCCCCTCTTTTCCTCCCCCTCCCTTCCTTTCTTTCCTCCTTTTCCCTTTTTTGAAACAGGGTCTCTACATCACCCTGGCTGTCCTGGAACACATGGAGTTCTCCACACCCAGCTCAGTAGTTACATTTTCTTACCAGTGCACAAGTTCTAATCACTGACAAACCACCTCTGTCAGTGTCAAATACAGTGGATGGATAGTCTTTCTGTCACTCTTGGGTAATATACACAAAGGACTCTAAGTTGGCCTACCACAGAGGTACCTGCAGCACAACTCACCACAGCCAAGATGTGGAACCAGTCAATAGATGAGTAAAGAAAATCTCTCTCTCTCTCTCTCTCTCTCTCTCTCTCTCTCTCTCTCTCTCTCTCTCTCTCACACACACACACACACACACACACACACACACACACACACACACACACACGAGCACAGTGGAGTCCTGTCCATCCATAAAGAATGAAATTATATCATTTACAGGAAAGTGGATGGAAGCAGAGATCTTAGTAACAGAAAAACTCAGACGCAGACAAACAAGTATCACATGTTTTCTCCCATCTCTGGATCGTAGATTTTGAATAGATACATAAACTCATTAATATATACATATGTGTGTAGGTGTGTACATGTGTGTGAGAGAGAGAGAGAGACATGACATAGAAGCAAGATTGTCTGGGAGAAGAAAGAGACTAGCAAGAGGGAGAAAGGGATGTTTTGAAGAGTGGATGTGGTTAAGCACCTGACTCGCTTGAATGAAATGTCTTTATGCAACCCAGTACTATACAGTGAATATTCTAAGAAGGATTGTCTTGTCAGTAGCCAGCTTACACGACAGCGTTTTAACAGGAGGCTTTGTTCTTCTTGTCTTATCTAGACCTAAGAGGAAAAGAGTGACTATGGTTTTTGCTCACAGAATGGATAACGACCAGCCACCTGTGGTTACTGCTACCCTGCTGGCGCCCCTTCAGAACCACAGCTGCATGGAAGCAGCCGAGGCCCTGCTGCCCCATGGCCTGATGGACTTCCATGAGGAACACAGCTGGATGAGCAACAGGACAGACCTTCAGTATGGACTGAACCCTGGAGAGGTGGCCACAGCCAGCATTTTCTTTGGCGCTCTGTGGTTGTTCTCTATCTTTGGCAATTCCCTGGTGTGTCTGGTCATCCACAGGAGCCGGAGGACTCAGTCCACCACCAACTACTTTGTAGTCTCCATGGCGTGTGCCGACCTCCTCATCAGTGTGGCCAGCACACCGTTTGTTGTGCTGCAGTTCACCACTGGAAGGTGGACCCTCGGGAGTGCCATGTGCAAGGTAGTGCGTTACTTCCAGTATCTCACTCCCGGCGTCCAGATCTACGTGCTCCTCTCCATCTGCATAGACCGCTTCTACACCATCGTCTACCCGCTGAGTTTCAAGGTGTCCAGAGAAAAAGCCAAGAAGATGATCGCAGCCTCCTGGATCCTGGATGCAGCCTTTGTGACGCCTGTCTTCTTTTTCTATGGCTCCAGCTGGGACAGCCATTGTAACTACTTCCTCCCTCCCTCCTGGGAGGGAACTGCCTATACGGTCATCCACTTCTTGGTGGGCTTTGTGATTCCCTCTGTCCTCATAATCTTATTTTACCAGAAGGTTGTAAAGTATATCTGGAGAATAGGCACTGATGGGCGGACCCTGAGGAGGACAATGAACATTGTCCCCAGGACAAAGGTGAAAACGGTCAAGATGTTTCTCCTCTTGAACGTGGTGTTTCTATTCTCCTGGCTGCCTTTCCATGTGGCTCAGCTCTGGCACCCCCATGAGCAAGACTACAAAAAGAGCTCACTTGTCTTCACAGCGGTTACATGGGTATCCTTTAGTTCTTCAGCCTCGAAACCCACTCTCTACTCGATTTATAATGCCAATTTTCGGAGAGGGATGAAAGAGACTTTCTGCATGTCCTCCATGAAATGTTATCGCAGCAATGCCTACACCATCACCACCAGTTCAAGGATGGCCAAAAGAAACTATGTTGGCATTTCAGAAATCCCTCCCATGAGCAGGACGATAACCAAAGACTCCATCTATGACTCATTTGACCGAGAAGCCAGGGAAAAGAAGCTTGCCTGGCCCATCAATTCAAACCCACCAAACACTTTTGTCTAATTTCTAAGAATTCTTTCACTGTTATGTGCGGAGATTAAAAGGCTTTAACTATGAGAGGGGAGTGATTTCCGTAGTTTTCACTCACCTGTCTGTTTTGTAAAGTGCGTTCACTGCTGATTATGGTTTCTGGGACTTTGTTCTGGCTGCTTTTTGTTGGTCGGTAGCGCTCCACCATTAGATGCCCATGAAAAGTTCTTTCCTGGGCTGGAGAGATGGCTCAGTGGTTAAGAGCACTGGTCTTAACTAGTCTTCCAAGGACCCAAGTTCAAACCCCAGCACCCACACCACACAGCAGCTCACAGCCACCTTTAGTTCCAGCTTCAGGGGATTCAGTAACCTCTCCTGGCCTCTCAGGACACTACACACTTGTGGTGCATAGACATTTATAAAGGCAAAACACCTGTACACATAAAATTTAAAAAAAAAAAAAAAGCTTATTTGTTCGTTTGAAAGTTTCCTGAATGGGGACAATGGCTCAGAGGAGAAGGGTACTTCCTTCCAAGTCTGACAGCTCGAGTCCAATCCCTGGAATCCACATGGTGGAAGGAGAGGACCAGCTCCTGTAAGTTGTCTTCTGGTCTCCACACAATTATTGTGGCATGCATGCACTTGTGTGTGCACACACTCACACTAAATAAATGTGAAAGAAAAATTCAAAACACTTTTTGCTCCATCATCAGGTCAGTATACACATGCTTCTATTTTGGGTTCTGTCTTGCTTTATTTTGTTTTTCTTGTCTTTTCTCTACTGAATTTTTATAACTGTGGCCTCCTGTTTCACTGAAATCCCATAAGTGATATATTTCAAGAACTTATGTTTCTCCGGCTCAGCAACGCAGTATGTATTTGCATGTTACCTCCTGAAGTGGGGGCGGGGCACTGGCTGTTGACCATCCACCAGAGCCTAACAGAACTGCTGGGAGGCCTCCTGTGATGGGTTTAATCATTGCTTGAGAGAGAATGGGTAGAGTCATCTACATTCCTTGCCTTTTCTTGTTTTCATCCTTCCTTAATCCAAGCAGCTGGGGAAGCCTTGAAAATTCATTATTTTATTTATTGGTGGTGGTGGGGTTCACTTGGAGAGACCAGAGGACAACTTGGAGGAGTCAGTTCTCACCTTCCACTGTGTAGGTTCTGGAGCTTGAACTTAGGTCATTAGGCTTGACAGTAGGCCCCTCCCACTGAGCCTTCCTGCTGGTCTACGCCTTGAAATCCGTGCTATTTCCCGCGTACCTGTGACCCTTCCACACAGTTCCTAGGACCCATGTCTCCCTTCCCTAAGTCATACACAGGCAGAGGAGCAAGCGACTTTGCCAGGCTTGCCAAACACAGGAATTGCTCTGCAGTTCACAAAGAGACCTTCAAAAGCCTGGCCCTGCTGTGACCAGGACACAAAGGGCAAGATTTGACTAGTTTTTCTCCTATAAATTCTGACAGGAGCCTTTCATTGTAATTGCAATTAAGAAAATAAACTTTAACTTATGTGTCTGTGCAGGTGCCCATAGAGGCCAGAAGACGGCCTTGGATCCGGTGGGGTTGGAATTATAGGCTGTTGTGAGCCACCCAACACAGGTGCTGGGGGCCAAATTTGGGTCCACTGCAAGAGCGGTATGTGCTCCTAACTGATGAGCCATGCCTCTAGCCCCATGAGGTTCATCTCCAGTCAGATATGGTTCTCTTCTCTCTCTCTAGATGGAACCATGATTCGCCTTCCAAACTCAAACTCTCCTTTCCTGTGTGACTTAGGATTTGACTCCTTGGTTCCCAGGTGTACATTATTTGAAATCTAGCACTAGTACATTTAGAATTTTTTTTAAAAGATTTATTTATTATGCATACAGTGCTCTGCCTGCATGTATCCCTGCAGGCCGGAAGAGGGCACCAGATCTCATTACAGATGGTTGTGAGCCACCATGTGGTTGCTGGGAATAGAACTCAGGACCTTTGGAAGAGCAGACAGTGCTCTTAACCTCTGAGCCATCTCTCCAGCCCCTAGAAGTGTTTTTTTTTTTTTTTTTTTAATAGCTGGATATAGCACACACTCATAATTCTAGCCCTCTGGAGATGGAAGCAGGAGAATCGGGAGTTCAAGGTCATCCTTGACTACACATAAGAGACCTTGTCTCAAAGGCAGTACAACACAAGACAAAAGGAATTTATTTCGATGAAATAAGGGCTTACAGACAAGCCTGGTTTGCATTTTCATGGCTAGTTAACATGAGCTGCATGTAATAACTCATTGTTTAGCAATCTGCTTGTATTAGCTCATCCTCTCAACAACTCCATGATGTGTTTATGTTTTTTGTTTGTGTTCTTTTACACTGAGTGTCATTTTATAGCCCAGGCTGGCTACATACTCAAGGCAATCTTGCCTCAGCCTCACCTGTGATGAGTTCATAATCGCTTCTATTTACCAGACAAGGAGACTAGAACTCAGTGATGCAGCTTGTCAGGTCGGAATGTGACAGCTGGCATTCTGACTTGGGCCCTCCCCCTGTGGCTCATTCCTTACCATTTCAGATGTCTCCTTAGAGAACGTGAGTGGCCCTAATGAGACATGCCCCATTGGCCTGATCACAACCTTGGTAGAACTGTAAGGTCTAAGGTAATCTGACTGTTCTGATGGCGATGGAGTTTAATGAGCTGGCTCACACCTTTCTCTTGGCCATGGATTGGTTCTTCAATCTCTGGTACTGAGTGTTTTGAGATCCAGAAATTAGTCTCACAAACACCAGTAAATAAGACAAGATTGTGTTTGGTATTTGTGACCAAGGACAGCAATCGCTTTAAATCACAGCACTCAAGAGGCAGAGACAGGCAGGTCCCTGAGGTTAAGCCAGCCTGGTCTACACAGCAAGATCAGGCCAGCCTGGGCTCCATAGTGAGAGCCTGTCTCAAAAGCTAAGGCAAAACCCCGACAGAACAATAAGATATTTGCTCTAAAACCATCTACAGGAGTTGAACATGCTGGCACACCCTTTTCATCATCAAGAAGCAGGAGGACCTAGAATTTCAAGGTCAACCTGGTCTACACAGTAAGCTCCAGGCCAGCGGGGTCCATCAGTGAGACTGTTCTCAACAGCAAATGACAACAACAAAAAAATACCTTCAGAAATGCTTTTAGGTTGAGATGCTTCCTTCAAAGGACCAATTCAAAAGGCTAAAAATATAAAAGAAAATAAGTGCTTCCCTTTATCCCCTTTCTTCCCTCTTCACAGGCTTAGCAGATGTCTCTGAAATGAGGCAGATGCCTCCCTTGGCCCTTTTATTTTATGGTTCAGACTTTAAAGTAGAAAGAACCCTTCTAGTTGTTCTGTTAATTTATTTGTGTTTGTTTGTTTGTTTTGTTTTTTGAGAGTTTCTCTGTAGCTTTGGCTGTTCTGGAACTCACTCTGTAGACCAGGCTGGCCTCAAATTCACAGAGATCCGCCTGCTTCTAACTCACCCATACTGAGGTTAAAGGCATGTGTGCCACCACTTGGCACTTATTTTAAAGACTGATTGTAGTGCGTGTGTGTGTGTGTGTGTGTGTGTGTGTGTGTGTGTGTGTATGTGTGTGTCCATGTATTGTAGATGTGTACAGGTGCCTATGGAGGCCAGGAGAGGGCATCAGAACCTCCTGAAAATCCAATTCCAGTCCTCGGCAAGAGCAGCAAGTGCTCTTAATTGCTAAGACATCTCTCCAGGCCCCGCTTATTTTAATTTGACTTTATTATTGTTATTGTGCATATGTATGATGTGTGTGCACACTTATGCCAGGCTCACTCAGCAATAACAGTGGCTTTCCTAGTTTGCTCTGTCTCTGTGATAAACGCCATGACCAAAAGCCACTTGAGGAGGAAAGGGGTTTATTTCATCTTACACACCTTACAGTCCATCATGAAGGGAAGTCGAGGCAGAGCCTGGCGTCAGAAACTGAAGCAGAGCCCAAGGAAGAATGCTGCTTACTGGCTTGCTCCCAGAGCTTGCTCAGCTCAGGACCACCAGCCCAGGGGTGGCACTGCCCACAGTGGCCTAGACTTTCCCTTATCAATCATCAACAGATTTGCTCCCAGTCTGATGGAGGCATTTTCTCGATTCAAGTTCTTCTCCCCAGATGACTCTAGCTTGTGTCAAGTTGACAAAAGGCTGACCAGCACACTTGCTCCACTTTTATTTATTTAGGGTTTTTTTTAAATTTTCTATTTATTTTACTTGTGTTGTTGTGGTTTTGGTTTTTTGAGGCAGGGTTTCTCTGTGTAGCCTTGGCTGTCCCGGAACTCACTCTCTAGACCAGGCTGGCCTCGAACTCAGAGATCCGCCTGCCTTTGCCTCCCGTGTGCTGGGATTAAAGGCATGTGCCACCACCACCCGGCCTTGTTTTTGTTTTTGATACAGTCTCACGTAGCCCAAGCTGGTCTAAAACTTTCTATAAAGACAAGGCTATCCTTGAACTCCTGACCCTCCTGTTCCTACCTCCCAAATACTGGGGTTACCAGTTTGCAGCACCATACCCAGCTTTGGGTTTTTTTGTCTTTTTTTTTTTTTAATTTAATTTGGGGGAAGGGGTTGGAATGTGGGTAAGTCTCACTATGTAGCATTGGCTGTTCTGGAACTCACTATGTAGACCAAGCTAGACTCAAACTCATACAGATTGCCTGCCTCTGCTTCCAGAGTGCTGGGATTAAAGTCATGTGTCATCTATGCCCTGCCACAGTAGGGCCCTCTTAAAATTGAAAAAAAATTTAAAAAGAGGACTGGGGATATAGCTCAATGGCAAAATGATGGTCTAACATGTAAGACATTAAAGTTAGTCACCACCACTACCACCACCACCACCACCACCACCACCACCACCACCACCACCACCACCACACACACACACACACACACACACACACACACACACACACACACATTTAAAAAAGATTTAGGCTCATGCTTTGGATCCTAGGAGGCTGAGGACTGTCATAGGTTTGAGGTCACCCTGGACTACATAGTTGAGTTCCAGGACAGCCTAGGCTACAAAATGAGACTATGTCTCATAAAAAGCAAATGCATAAAATAACAATTTA